GCGTTATTCACCAAAATATCCAACCGTTTGAATGCACTGATCGTACTGTCAATCAGTCGTTTACAGTCGACGTCTTTACTCACGTCTGCCAACACTTCCAGTGGTTTCAGGCCTTTGGGCGAAACGGCCGCACATTGTTTGGCCACTTCTGACAAGTTGTCGGCATTACGACCGGTGATCACCACTTGAGCCCCATATCGGGCGAACTCGACAGCTGTGACGGCGCCGATACCACCACTTGAACCGGTGATCAGCACTACTTTATCCGCAAAATTTTTTGATGTGGACATTATGTTACATGCAATTGATTTAAATCAAATAGTTTGTAACAATCAAATACTTCAAGAAGTTTATATACCAACTAAAATATACAACAGATTGTTTAGTATAATAGCCATAATGGCTTTCATACACTTAAAATGCACTAAATGTTAATAACTTCTTATATTGAAAGTAACTGCTGTGTTGGGCGTTAGAAACGTAAACTGATCTAACCAAGGTCATATAAATTTTTGATTTTATGCATTGCACAATCTTGTATTGATACTTAGTACTATAGCAATTTGTCTATTTACATATTTTTATTATTGAAATTTAAAAATTTAAATGCATAACTTAATCTATCCCATTATGAGCTAAAAGTTCATCAATCAAACGTATACTGAATATTGTGTGTGTAACTGTCGGCAGTTTTTGTATTTAACATAATAATCGGATTAAATTTTTTAAATAAAGTTTAAATTCAAGTGAATTTATTTTAAGAATAAGGATCACACAGCGATGCTATACATTAACCACTATTCGGGAAATGCATCAAAGATTTTAAATATTTCAATACTATTGTTAGAATACCTTCACTATTATTATTTTGAGAATTTTTAATGTTTTTGACAACAATTAGTTCTATTTATTATGTAGATTTATTTAGTATATTTCAATAAAAAAAAGCATCATTCCATTGAAATAACATTACTCCCATAGACTTAGCACTACCCATGTTTTCCCTATGCCGTAGACTTAGCATTACTTATGTTATCCCTATGCCATAGATTTAGCATCACCCATAGGATTAGCATTAGTCCCATTGAGTTAGCATTGTCCATAGGATTAGCATCATTCCATTGAAATAACATTACTCCCATAGACTTAGCATTACCCATGTCATTCCTATGCCATAGACTTAGCATTACACATAGACTTATCATTGTCCATAGACTTAGCGTTACCCATGTTATCCCTATGCCATACCCATGTTAAAGTATAGCCATAGACTTATGCTGTAATCCCATGTTAAATCCCATAGAGCGGG